TTTAATACCAGAACTACCATTCCAGTCACAATGACTGGTTTCATAATTTTTCCTTCTTACAATTATTTAAAACATTTACCTATTTAAAAAAAACAGCGTTGACTCATATTGAGGTAGAACTGTAATTAATATATTTTTCTTCTACTGATCACACCGATAAAATTACTATTATCTTTGCCTGCTATGTTTAGGTAAATACCTATTTAAGATATAATTATTTAATGTTACAATTCGAGTAGTTTTGTTTGAAAACGAATTTCTAAATTTTTTTACTTGGAATATTGCAAAGATAGGTTTTTCATCACCATGGAGATGTTTCGTTGCATTTATTGATTTTTGTTCTGATAAATTCGTAGCTAGTATCGTGATTCGTTTCCGACGAACGATAAAGCGTGATCGTTCCCACGAGAACGGGGCACGATTTAAAAGATGTCTGCCGCGTACGTCGTTAACGGGGAGAAAATGTAATGGCGGAAAGGGATTCAAGGAAACTGCGCATCGAGCTTACGGGAATTGCTTGGACGTTATCCTTTAGTGCGTTTCGTTTTATCAGGTTGATAATTCGCGTGTATGTAATTGCTAAATATTTATGTGTGATCTATAGTTACAAATTGTTGAAACGAAGGAAATTTTATACCCGAAATATGTGCATGTATGAAGTTTAATATTTCCGGTATAATTAATATTCTGATATGTACCTAAATCATATCTCCGAATTTATGGAACAAAATGGACAACGTGGAGTATTAATACCGATTGTTTGCTAATTAAAATTTATGTAAATTGTAATAGCCAAATTCATGAGTTTTAATGAAATTACACAAATTTTGTTTTACAATATTCTGAAACACGACAATATACTTAAGTCGAGAATTTGACGGAACGATTATTTAAATAAAATTTAAAAGAGTTCTAAAAGCTTCTTACTAGAAATATGTGAGATAATAAATTGACAATTCATTATGTCTATGATTATTTATGTTCTTTTCATATAAATCCCATTAACCGATTTCAAAATTAATTACATTTCTCATGTCCATGTATCATAGACTAGCTGCTCTCGTCATAGCAGTGTTTTGTTTCAGTCTCCCATAAAATTCTAAAACTGAAGATTCAGAATTTCATGCACAACAAGGAAATAAGTGAGACGATTCTTTTCACGATTTATTCAAAGTTATCTCTCTCCCACGGGAAATAAAGTGACATTCTTTTAACAATTATGGTAACTATAGACGAGTAGATAGAAATAAATTATCGCGTTTATTTTAATCACTCTTATAGCGGTTCTTCGTTATTGTCAAACGCAACGACACGTGTTATTAGAGACATATTGCAAACCGGACATTAGCAAATCCATAGCGGATTGGAGTGTAGACAATCGACTTGTTATCTCATTTGCATATCGGTTTCATTACAGATGGAAATTAGTCGCGCGTGTCCAATATTTCAAGGGACATGGCAACGCGTCACGGAGTTTCGAAAGATTATTACGTTATTACGTCAAGTTGAATTTCCGAGGGCTGATTTGGTGTGGGCCATTACCACTTTCCCTCTCTTCCTCTTCCTCCCTGTCTCTCTCTCGCAGCCTTCTTCCTTTACCACTAGTGTTATTGCGCTCTGTACAGTTTGCTTTACTGACGTCGCAAAGGGATTGTAAGATGACAGTGCTAGTGTATCATTGTAGGTCAACCGTAAAGGCTCTTGTAAAGACGCAGAACTTGCCCCAAACGTAGAATATTATTGTAGTAGCTAGTACCCGGGACGAATTGCATAACTTAACCGTCGTAATTATTTCTGCGGCGGATTGGCTAATTATTAACCCACGGTATATAGTTCGTCACTTTATGTTGGTAACAGAACATTGAAGATGTTAGATTTTTCTTACTTCTTGCTATTTTAGAAGAGATATCTGTTTAATTTTCGCGAGTCTACTTAAATTTAAAACACGAGATAAGAATTTCCTCGTGTGTTGATTCAGTTTTTTGCTCTCATGTATCAGGATTTATCATTTGATGCAATGGTTTCAAAATCCATTTAATTTAATATTTACAAATTTTTTTGGACCACAGAATTTATAATTATCAGAATTGAAATAATTCTTTTCGATAAGAGGAAAATGGACTTTTTTAAACATTATACGTGTAGGTTAGAATCAGTTTTTTTAAACTCACGATATTTGGGTTCCTTTTAACGATTGGTGGTATTAAATTAGTTTACTGAAATAGAATATTGTAATATCATATTTTAAATTTTATGCTTTCTATTTTGCATGCAGAAAATGAAATATATAACACCTACCTGTTACTAATTCCTTCACAACTTTCACGTTGGACTAGATTACTGTAATTCTTTTAATATTCTATTAAAATAGGTATTTCGTATGCTGTGAGATAACAAAAAAGAAACACTTGGGAATGTAAAATAACGATTTCAAAACATTTAATGTAAATCGAAAAGTTCGAATAACTGAACAATGGTTTATAATGGCAGTCGTGTATTCGATTTATTAAGATATTCAGACCGGCAATTTCACCATCCAAGTACGTTTAATGCTCGTTTGCGAACCGCTTACGATGTTCGGCGAGTTCATAAAAATTCGTTCGACATAGTGAAACCATCGGGCACGATACATTAATAACGTTATAATAATTTAATACGACATATCTATGATCGCTGTAGCCTCAATTCGTTTTCTACTGAACGATGATTTTCAAACGATCATCGCCATAACGTTTCGAACGGTCGCTGTAATACGCTATTCACAACACTCGCCTTTTGCACTTTGCATTAACAATCGCAGCCTCGAATCATCACCGCGAAAATAGACGACAATTCAGATTGATCACAGCATAACGTATCTACATTATTTACAGAACAACCAATCGGCAAAGACGCGTTACGTTTCTTTTACCTGTCCCATACTCGAATTTTGCCTGGAGCGGGAAATGGAATGCCACATAGCTCTCTCGATCCCTTCCGGAAGTTTCGAATCGTCTATCTCTTTCCTTTCTTTCCCGTAGTCGACCATTCCGAGATATGAAACGAAATGCACGTTTTTCAATTCGGTTCCACTTCAATTTAGTTTTGGATCGAAGTGGTAATTATATCAAATAAAACACCGTTTCCTTCCCGCGATTACCGTAGAATTGAAAAAGGTATTTGCAAGAGTGTTTTTTAATGTTTCTTCAAAATTGCCGAAGTATAGTTTGAGAGTTAGACATAAAAGTTCTACAAAAGACATTGTTATTAAGAAGTGAGATTCTTTGCGAAACGTATAGAAACTCGTTTCGAAGTGAGGACGAAAATGTTCATGAATTCCTTCGATAAAGATGGTCGATTCGAGACTTCCCAAGTGCACTGCATCTAACTGTTGCCATCAACTCTACGTTAGACTCGAACGAAACTCGAAATAGACTTGAGGAAACTTCGTTCTGAAAAGGGGCTGGTACAAAATATCGTCGAAAGCTCCTATTTCTTTGGTATTTATACAAAGGTACGCGACTAAAGATGGTTACATTGGTTCATGTAGAAGGATGGATATTTCCAAAGTAACAGATCACGAGTTCTACCCAAAATTGCACGTTCCGGTCGAACTTCTTTGGTTAATGTCCGTTCTATGGATCGTTAAATCTACTTTAAGTCTCGTTAAAGCTAAAAATATTGTCATTATCGTGTAACGTTCCGGAAGAATCACGCGTTCTCCCGAGTCTGATGCGTAATTGAAACTGAAACGACGAAGCTCTCTGCACGAAAACACCGTCGTCGATGATTCGGGGCTACGCAACATCATCGTCGCCGCATTTCTCTCATACGCGGTAATTCGTTAACACTCGTCTTAAATGGCATCGAATCACATTCACGAACGCGTCCATCATTTTGTTGTTACGTATATGTATATGGGCAGCGTTCGTCTCAGCACATGCACATGTCAGCAGTCAGACAGATAATGATGAAACTTCAGAGCGCGTATCTCAACACAACTACGATTCAATATATATATGTATATATATAATGTATGTTCTGTGTATAATATTATAGTTATGCTTTTCGTTTATTCTTTCATGCGTACGTATATATCATTACATGTATCGAGATGCAGTTGTGCTTTGTTTCGTTCGACTAGATTACAACTACTTGTTATCCTGTCGTCGTGTCGCGAACGACGCGATGAGGAATTAACGTCGACAATCAGGTGTTCGTTCGACGAGCAATGAGATCGGTTTACAGATGAGAAATACGTAAAACGGTCTGAAAATAATTCCTTCTCTTCTGTCGGATCACAGATTTACGTACTTCGCCACCTCATCGTCTTTGGACTAGTATATTTGATTCGATAGACTCGATAACGAAATTCATGTGCAACCTCGCAAGGGAAATGTCCTATTTACTTTTAGAAAGTGAAGAATCTTCTTGCCAAGCAACACGAACGGTACAGTGATAATGAACGATGAGGATACCTAGAATGCTGAATCTTCTCGAGTAGTTAGGAAATCAATGGTATTTGACATAGATGGGTGTGCGAAACGAAGAAGTTCGTAATACTCTGCTTCTGTTCTTATCGTTTTCTTTACTTATCATACGAAATTACTGGAATTCGCTCTTTGGTCATTGATTCTCAGCCGTATCAGAGATTCGCGACACACGTTTGATTATAAAATTCGTTTGTCGGAACACTTAAAGCGGCAACGTGTTATATAAGACGATACAACCCTCGAATTTTCGCGAAACATCGATGTATTACAATAACATCGGCTGAAAACCATTGACGTAACCTCTGGTTCGTTACCATATTTTTCTAGTCGACACGAAATAATTTGTCTCGTTTTCTTTTGCTTTTTCTCCCTTCTTTTTTTAACGCGAATACTCGGTTTTGCGCATCACGAGAGAGGATAAAGTCTTTTCTCGAATGCAGCACTCGTCCATCATCCAGACGAAGGCGGCGTACCGGAAACTAGTAGCCGTCTCCAGTCTGGTCACCGTCCAATAAACACTAGAACTGGAAGCCCCGTTCCCGCGACGTGAGAATCACCTTCTGATGGCCGGAAGTAGCAGTGACAGGAGACTCACCAAAAGATGAAGAATGATCTGAGCCCGATGGGAAACGCCCGGATTTAGGGCATTTACCGGAAACTCGCCTGGCGGCCTCATCGATGCCGGACTGTAACCTGCAAGCAAACAAATTTGCTTCTGCTCCAAACGCCCAATTCTGTATTATTTTTTATCATTATTAATTTCTTGGAGAATCAAGCTTTACTTGGCGCATACGAGACATTGTTATTAAGCGGATCAGTGGGCAGGTTGAAATTTTTCGTATTGTTTGCAATAGTTAATTAATAATTAATTGCATCTTTCATCCAAGTTGTCTCAGTAGAGTAACGCGAAATTGCGTGAATCATACAATCAATTTAATCTTTCCGCATATTATTTAGATGTTCTTGATAGTGGTCATTATTATTCGTAGAACAGCAATGTTAATACTTTGTTAATGAGCGATATCGAGCCAAAATCGATTCTCGTGAATAGAATTTTCTGCATTTGAATCTAAGATGAAAGTATCGTAATAAACATTAGTGTACTTTATTTATATATCATGTGCTGAAATTAACCCAAAGCTTAAGTTGAATTTAGTAATAAAATAATGTATAATATTCGTGGCTGATTTCACATCATGTTTTGAAGAAAGAATACGAATACACTTCTGACGAATGAGCAAGATGTTACGAAATATTTGACTTAGATGTCGTAAATCTATTGAAACGTATTGTTTGTTTTTCAAGAGTTTGAATATATTCTTAGAACTTCTTTGATTGAATTTCACTCACTGATTATAAATTAATTAGAAATCGTTAATCTCGTCTGGCAGTGTTGCTCACAAAGAGCATCTACTATTCACGAAACATTGTCTGGGTATTCAACAATACTATGCATCGACGCTAGATTGGAGGCATTAATCCACAGAGTTGGTATATTTTCCCCGTGACGGCATTACGTGCCGCGTCTTGAACACGACAATTTCATTCATTGGCGTAATCGTCAGGCGTTTGTATTTTCCCTTGTATTAAATTGTTCTTTGTAGAATTAGCTCTGAATGCCTGGGCGATAAGAATGAAAAGGGGTTGTAGGAGCGGTGCAAGAAACGAGGCGAACACGTGGAAATGAGAATGCAACAAAGGTCCATCTATGGACCGGAACATGTTGCTCGAATAATAAAGCGTTCGATTATAATGCACCGGTCGGATAATCGAACGTTGGGGTCGTGATTGTGCGAACAATGCTGATAGCATTCTGAAAGGATTTCGGCTGGACAATGCGATGGTGATTCGAATTTCATAGGAAATGCACGCGCAAAACTAATTCGTGCCTCCGTAAGTCCGAATTTCAATGGCTGAGGGTGGAGTGTTGTGCTCGCGATACACCGCCATGTTGCTAAACTCTTAACACGCACTCCACGGGAAAAATTAAACTCGAAAGCGAAGATTGAAAGGTTATTTTTCGCTCTTTTCCTTGATAGACTAGTTACGAAAGAATTTTCATTTTTTTTTTGTTTTTTTTTTCTTCTTTCGAATTCTTTTGGGCCCATAATGGCGGACGCTCACGAAGAAAGGAGGAATCAAAATTTTGTATACTCTTTCATAAGACTGAATTTCTAATTAGAGATGTTAAATTTTGAGAAATATAGTAGGTATGGTGATATTTTCGTATCTAAGAATTTGTTGTAGGGAAGAATTCTCTTCTCGCGCATGCGGATCGATAAGTCGGCAGGATCGGAATAGACAAAAATTTCGTTTGACCTTAAAACGCATTACCGGCGCAAGTCGCTGTTTGTACATTCCATGTTGTGGAAGCGAATTATCGTTATGCCACTGAATAAACTTTTTAGGATATGCCGCACTACTTTCTACTGGTGGGTAACTCGATTTCCGGCTCGTAAAACTGTTTTCGAATTCAACGAACCGTCTTCGAGTGTTTAAGCATTGCTGATTTAAAACAATCAAAAGAGTTGGTGATTGAACGCGAGCTTTGGATCATTACCATAATGGTTTTACCACGTGGTTTATGTGTTACGTATATTATTCATAACGATCAAAGTTAATTAATCGAATGTAAGGATGCAAAGTTTATTTACCTTTGAGAGGAGAAATTGAAATTGTCCAGCCAGATATTATTGTTTATTCGTGTGTTTGCACTCAGTAATTATGATGTCAGAATTTAAAGTACCATGTAATCTGTGCAATTTATTTATTTCTATATGTACTTACATACGCGGTCACCGAAGGTACAAATACAAAGTTGAAGAAGTGTAATATGATTTTAGTATAATGTCCTATTACGCTCTAAAACTGTCCTAGTTCAAACATATCTACTTTTCCAAGTTCAAATGTGTTTCGTACGAAGTTGTATTATAGTTTAGTAACGTTAGCAAGACTCGACAAGTAGGAGACACTAGTGGGATCTGTAAAACTTGACTACTCAAGTTTAACAATATTTCGATTCAAGTTTGAATATGTTCGGTGTATTAAAGTACTAATTGCTATATTGTTAGAATCACAAAAATTATAAAATCGTAATGATTAACTATTGTAAAATAGCATGCAAATAATGATCTCAATTGTTACCTATTACCTGCAATTTTAAAAGTTTGAAGATTTTATTACCTTTAGATCTAATTATTATACCTTAAATCACGGTCGATCTTTCAATGACGACAGGGATATATGTGCGAGTATGAGAATAGTCGGATAGAGAAGATAAATACAAGGAGTTGCCGTGGATAATACGATGGGAGGGCGAAAGCACGGTGCTCTTTCGCGTCCCGGAATTAAATTCGGCCAAATTCTCGGAATCTCTAGGATATTTGGTCTGCGCAAATCCCTTTTTAATGAGATAAAAGGCTCGCCAGCAGAAGACTAAATAAATTTATACTCCATTAGATATCATCCACAGCCTGTTAAATCGGACTGACTCAGCGACGTCTTTCAAGAAACGTCCGATCAGACGATCCTCAATTATATATTCGCAATGTTTTAATAATCCTAGAACAAAAGTCATGGAGAAAGAAGTAGGAGAAATTGTTGAATTTTTTAGTTATTTTTGCAAATGTTCTTTCTCATATTTTTACAGTTTCACTTGAATTTGTAAGTTGAATGTAAGAAATAACAGTGATCTAAAAATAAATTTACGCTGTACTAGCAAATTGCATGAGATGCTAACGTTACGAAAATATGCTTCTTGTTTTCTTAGTATCCACGTTTTGGATTATATGATTATTTTTAATATTATTCCTCCATTTTCTACAATTCTCTACACGTTTCTGAATTCTATTTTCAGATATTTTAAATACGAGTACTATTTTGTTAATCAAAATCGTTTGTCTATTTTACTTTATACGCGTTCAGCTCAAATTTCACGGATGTATCTTGCGTCCAGGGTGTTTTAATTAATTGAGTATTTTCTTGGAGCGGAGAAAATAGTTTAAATCCTTCGCATTCCTCCGAATAGCTATTCTTTTTATCTATGTTGTTGGTATTGCACAGAGAAATAATTTATCGTCAAGCTTTTCTTTATCCTCCATTCCTTGCACTGTAATATTATTCTGAATGCAAATATCTTTTAAAGCTTCAAAATAACTTTAAACGCTCAATTTTCATACGATCAATAATTACAGAATTCTTACCGGAACTTATATCAAGGAAATGAAAATATTTATTCCTATTATTATATTTTTCTAAATCGGCAATCAAAAATTTATACACACCAAACGAGTATTAGTCCTCCATAAGAAGTTAAGTAATTTGACTCACTAAATTTCTAAATGTTTGAGCACGTCAACTTGAAATACGTATGCCATATTATTCATGATTCCGCTATTTTACTTAGAAAACGAAAGATGAAAGGAGAGGAGGATGTAACCACTTCAAATGATCAATTTAACTTAATCAGCACAGAAATCTAACACGTATGAACATAACACGTTAATCCATCGAGTTGAAGCATGTTAAAATCCATGGAATCGATAGCGTTGTCCCCAAATTTACTCTGAAATCATAGAACTACAAACTTCGTTGGAACACTTGCCGCAAAGGCGGAATAACTATTCATAGTTCTGGGGAACCTAAGGTACGATTAAAATCGAGTTTAAGATTCAGATCGAGCGTTTAATACCGCTTGAAATCTCACTGATCAAACAAAATCTACTAAAATGTTTGTTCGATGAAGTTCACCCTTACTATTCGTATTTAGATAAGAAATGATAAAATAACCGACGAAAGGCGGGAGGCAATCGGTCAACGAAGACGCGGCCATATTGGAATGGAAGTCTGGCGTCGAATTACGGGATTCCGTGGAATTTGATGGATCGCGATATGGCAGGCCGGGAAAACAATTTATTAAATTATTCCCCTGGGTATCGTGGAGGGCCAGTTGCGCCGCAATAAATACGTAGTTTATCGTCGAGTTCGATTCTTTCCTGGTATGGTCTCTCTCGTGTTCAATTTCGCCTCTCGATTGGATTGGCCGGTTGTTCTAAGTTTTACGGACAGGTCCACGTTGGATCAACACCGCCACCTGTGGCGCTAATACAAATCCGGTAATGTTGCCGGCTATGAATACATGAATATCAACCGGGAAGAAGTCGATACATATGTACGTTTATCCCTGTTAACCCCGACGGCAACTTCGACCTGCATACAGGTATCACGCGAATGGGAACCGAGCTGTTTAATATGTAGTCGAGTACGTATCTCTGTCAAACATCCCTCGTGTAAAATGAACGATTTAATCCCTTGTTTCGCCATGCCTTTTCACGCGGTTATCCGTTGTTTCACAACTCTAAGTGAACGATTATGAATAGCACTCGTTAATTCTACTAAATATATTCCCATTTAAGCTTGAAACTGAGATAGTAACGGTGATTTGATCTTGAAATTTATGTCACAAATTTTGTTCAATTATTTTGTCCATTGAGACTCTGGGTATGAATATTTCAGCGAGATAACAACAGTTTGAGAATGAATTGAGAAGCGTTTAAATGACTGATTTTAAAATCGATACTTTTGTTATTAAGCACTGTTTTGTTCTTGTTTCTATAATTCGTATTTTAATTAGTCAAATTTATTTATATGCAAGAAATAACATACTTGAACCAGAGAATGTGTATGATTGAAAA